GATGCAGCAGAAGTTTGGTGACACCATATTACTTAAATTCATAAATGACAATTAATAGAAAATGATCAAACATTTGTAACCTGTAGGTGACACTGGGAACTGCTGAGTTAATTCATTTCTGATGTCTAAGTTTCTTTTATGGTCTTGTATTGAATAATCTGTGAATGGTCCAAGAAATTTCCTTTTCCGCAATTTCATGTCTTGTTTCCTTTGCTAAAATTTTTAGATTATAGTTTTCACGTATTCTCTGAGATGATGAGCAGCTATTTGGAGATTATTGTCTGTTTAAAACGTGCGGTAAAAAAGATGACTGGTAAAAATTATCTGGTCATCTGCAAATAAATTTGTATTTACTTCAAAATGGAGCGTTATATTTTCATGTCACTCTTTAATGTCTTGGTCAATATATCTATATATAATTTTAAAAAGGAAATTGGAGACAGTAGACATCCCATCCCAATTTAGCTTTTGAATAATTACTTATACTTTTCTTGTGATTGAGATGTATGTTTAATTGCATTACAGACCATAATTTGCTTCTGAAGATTTTTTAAAAGTCTATGAAGAGGATGTATGTTGGTAGATTGTATTCATGTCTTTTAACAGTAGTTGTAAAGCAAATGTACAATCTAAGCACAAGCATCCTTTAGAATCCATTTTGTGTTTGCGACAAAAGCCTGATGCTTATTTTATTTAGCTTCTGACGATTGTAGCATACATAGATTGAGTATGCAGTATTCAGGAGACTAATTCCTCTGTGATTTTTACAGTCACACTTCCTCACTTGAATATTGAATGATGGTTGCCTTTTTTCATTCTTCTGGGGTTTTATAGCTTTTCCAAGAGGCATTTGGTATACAGACAAGTACATTATTTTAATCTCCTGAGCTGTGTATTTGAATAATTCTATGTTTAGTGCATCATTTCCAGAAGATCATTAGTTTTTATGCGTGTGGAATACTTCCTCTAGTTCCCTGATACTCCACGAGGGGAATCTTTTTCAGCAAACGCCAATGTCTATAACCATAATACTCAATGTAGTAATCGTATTCATCAGGTGACAATATCAACTGCTCAGTACAAAAAATTCACATACATTACTCATACATTATTTTACAACATTTTGCCAGGTGACATTAAATGATGAAAATTGAATGAAAAGTTTAAGAGCCTAGTAAAATCTTTTCTGCTGCGTAACTGTTTCTCTACAATTAGAGACTATACCGAGCATCAAAAAGGAAAGTAATATTAAGTTTATCAATGATATTTAATGTATTATTTACCATTTGGACTGTATAATTTTAAACAAACTGTACAAGTATCAGGCGCGAATCCAAGGGGGGTAAATGAGGCACATTCCCCCCTCCACTAAAACGAATAAAAATCGTATCGTAGCAAGAGCTAAGGTCTCTCTCGAGGTGCCAAGCGAGTGATCGTGGGCCGGCTGTGACATTTCGCGCAATTACAGTGTGCCCGAAGCAAGAATATGGCATGGATCGCTTGCATGCGCCTGGTAACAGGGCGATATTCAGTGATGGATCCAGAGGGGAGGGGCATGCCCCCACCCCCCCCAATTCTAAGAGTTTTCGTATGTTACCTGTTTACTTTGAAAATTTGATTTAAATATTTTTTTATTAGAATTGTAATTATTGTAAATGTAATTACTTTTTAAAATATTAAGTATCATATATACACTACAAAAATAAAATATAATAGCAAGTGTTGGTTTTATAAAAAAATCTACGGTGGCCCTCTACAAAACGATCGGCTGGATCCCTGGTGGTAATAAGAAATCAAAAAGATAAAGAAAATATCCAAAATGAATAAGAAGAAAAGAGAAAGAAAAATAATAAAAAGAATAAGTAGAAGAGGCTTGAGACATTTTGTGCAATCCTGTCGATTTGCGTCAGTCATAGACAGTAATGTTTGTATGTAAGCGAAAATTTAATTAGTAAATCGATATCATGCTTTTTTTAATTTAAATTTAATATATTCAAATCCGGTTCGTCGTTTCGTCGTTTTGCAGCATTGAATTCAACCATTTTAACAAATTGTTACTATTACTTGCTATCTTTCGCTTACGCAGTTGAAAGAGATGTAATGCTGCGCGAAAAAAACGCGAATTTCCGGCAGAAAAAAAATTGACGAGCCCTGATAACGAAAAAGTAGATAAATCCAGTTTCTAAATTTAGAAAAAAAATCCTCTACCCCAAAATCCATATTTGTTGGTTCTTGATATCGAAAAAGCGATTGACGGAATAACGTCAGTCTGTCCGTCCGGTGTATGTGAAAAACACTCGCGCCTAAACCATGCGAACATTTTTCCCAAATTCAAGAAACCCCTGCCAATCTGGCCTGAGTCGAAGCTCTGCTATTTTGAAAAACATTCATTGATTTTTGGGAATATTTTACATGAAGCCCCAGAGACATTTTCAAAATTTTCTTAAAAAGGCTCCAATTTTTTCTTCTTTAAATTTTTTGTAAGAGTATAGGAAAATGCACTTGAAAAGGTGGCGTAGGTCCGAGTTTTACTGTTAACTCTAAATTTTCGATCATTACAAAAGTTTGAAGTTTTTCGGTGACTTCTTACAACTACAACATTGAAGACAGGGATTGCCCTTCTTGATGAAATTTGTTGTCCACAATTAGTTTTTTCATTAAGAATATGTAATTTTTTTGAAAATTTTAGTTTTCCCGGAATATTGCGTGCAATATGTGCAATTAAAAAAAATAACATAAACAATATTTTCTCAAACTCGGTTCCAATTTTTTCTTTAAACTTTTGATAGTGAGAATGCTGAATGTACTCTGAAATGACATCAATGCCATATTGCTCTATCCTTTTGTTTTTTCAAAAATTACAAAAATGTAAATTTTTTTGACTTCTCTCACGTCGATTTTATTTGCATTAGCGGAGATTTGTTCACATCATTGCTTTACGAGTAAATGTGCTTTAAATGTTGCCAAATAAAGTTTCTCGAAAACTAAAGTTTTTTGTGAAAACGCGCTCAAAATTCCGCATTTTCAGAAATGGTCAAATGCCATTTTCTCAAAAACGGCTCCAAATTTTTTCTTCAAACTTTTCGTACGGATTCTGCTAATTGCTCTGTTTAAGATTATATACAATTAATTTCGCTGTATTCTTTTATTTCTTCAAAATTACAATATTTTAAAAAATATCACGCAGGCCTTTAAAATGCATATTTCCAGCGATTTGTATACATTATAGCATTTGGGGGTGATCTAATGACTTTAAATGAAGTTTTTCGAAAACTAAAAAGATTTCTATGAAAAAGAGCTTCAAATTTTGCATTCACAGTAATGCCTAAACGCAATTTTCTTAAAATCGCCTCCAAAGTTTTCAACAAAAATTTCCTTATAGGACGATATTTTACTCTTCTTTAATAATCATAAAGTAATATTTCGGTTCTGCCATTACGAAACCGAACAATTGAGAACATTTTGAAAAAAAGGACGGCGTCTATTGATGGTAGCTGGCAAGAGGATGGGGCGAGAATGTAAAGCTGGGCCAGAGCAACGAAATTAGAAAATTAACTAGTACGAGGAATTTTGTACCGTTCTGTAGCACCACTAGTTAAGTTTTAAACCATAAATTATTAATTAAATACAAAAATTAATATTTCATTTTTGTTAAAAGTATTTTATAATTAATAATTTACGTTTATAATTTATATTTATATATATTATATTATATATATATATATATATATATATAAATAAAAATAAAAATATCTTCCTCGCACCTGTTCTTGTTCTGGCAATTTGACAACCGCGTTCCAAGACTGCCGTGGCTTGCACGTCCAGACAGCAGAGGAGGAAGTCTGCGTCTGGTCATAATCTGCAACAACTTTCCTCTTGCTGTGTTTTTAAGCGAACGTGTAGAGAATACACTTCTCCCCGTAGCGCGTCTAATTTTCTGTTTTTGGCGTAAAACATAAATAAAGCAGCCATTCCTTCCGTGGAAGGTGCTCGGAGAAGCAGTGCGACAAAGGTGCTAGGGAGGGATCGGCAATCTGCGGTCGCCGGTGACGAAAACCTTGGCAGTGGGCCTCTGCCGGTGTTTCAGGCAACATGACTGGGAAGCCATCTACGTTCGTTAATTTTCTTTCGATTTTGGGAGAAAGGTTACTTTCGGTAGATACTGGAACTATGGCAAAATGTTTAGTGTGTTCAAAAGACCAGCAGTACGTTAAAAAGTTAAACCGATATTGGCTTTACGCAGACTTGTGACCGAGAGAAACCCGCGAGATAAAAGTACATTCTGAGAATTGACTGAATTGACTTTGTATATCATGAAATGAGTAAACAATTTGCAGATTGAATATTGTGGAAAAGGTACTGAAAATCATGAGGATTTACAACATTCTCAAACAGAATTATACATGAAATAACCAAGACTGCGGTCTAATTTTTCCCTAGTGACCCTCCACGAGTATCTATTTGTAATTATTTTACATTATTTTTGTTTCAGAACGAAGTCAATTTGTTATATTATGCAACGTATGAAATATTATTGTCCTAAAATGTTACATCTGTCTTCTCCAAAAATGTTATGCATTAGAAGAATGGGGGTGGCATTACTGTACTGGTTATGATAGTCGGATATTGGTTTGAGTTATGTAATCTATGTTCTATATTTTAAGTTTTCAGAATGTTATTCTATAAACATGCTAAATAATAATTACCATATAAAATGTAATTATCGATTTTCCAAGCGAACCTTTTCATTCAACTTTCGTACCACGGTTGGAACACTGTGCGCTCGCCGCCTCGTCGGGCACTTCCTTTGCCCGGCGGCTCGGTTCGGAGCAGGAGAGCCAATTTCTGTGACGTCATAGCATTGAGTTGGCAAGCACTGATCTAAGAGCACGAACTGAACGAAATTGGAGACTTTTAGTTTTAAAGATTATATGTATAATGTTTCAAAATATTTTCGGTATATTTCAAATTGCATATGTAAAACTTCTTAATTTTTCCAGATTGTGCAGAACAAATGGCTCGCCGGGACCGCAGACAATATGAATCTTATTCATCGGAGGAGATAGCACATGTAAGTTATCGCTATTATATACAATTCCTGGTTTGCGAGCATTTTGCTTTTTTGTATAAGTAGTTCAGAGACTGTTGCGTTACGTAACGTCCCACGCCTTTGTTGGCCGTTTTTTTGCTAATCCATCGTACGTGACGTACCTCCCCGCTCCTGCAACGTCAGATATCCTCAATTCTTCTGAATATTTTGATTCCTGCGACAATACAATGCTTTAGTAAATGCAATACAATGTCGTAGGACAATGAACACCAAATTATAATAATAGTAATGATTATTATAATGTAACGTTTCTTAGTGGTGAATTAAAATACAGATAATATTTGTACAAAGACAATTATTTTGCCGGTTCGGAGGCAATAGTGGCATAGCGATCTCGGACCGAAGGATCGCGTGTCGAGTCCCGCCTCGGGCATGGTTGTATTGTGTTCGTCCTTTCACACCCCTATCCTCATATCGTGCCATCTTCATAGTTACCAAACCGTTGCACGCAATAGTGGTCGCTAATGTCCTATAATTGATGCGACCTTAAATAACAATAAAGATGTTTATTTTGTTTCTGAATGATACACTAAAAATACTTGATTTATGTACTGATAGGATTCAGTCCTTGTGTTCTTCATTTGGTTATTTCCTTATACTCGACTCACTTCGTTTGATTATTTATTTTCATTGTTCACTTCATTTCCACTATCGCACAGTCCGATGCATTGAACATAGGCCACAGTTCACGTCGCTGAACACGGTCTATTGCACTGCTGTTCACCGAGATGCACACGTCACAGCTCAGCTTCCTCATGAGACCGCAAGCGGCCCTCGGCAGCGCCGAAATTATAGCTGCCTAGCGCTGGCTAGGACCTTACCGGAACTTGCTTCACTCTTCTACGCGACTCGCCAGTATCCCGGAACCGTCCAGTTTGAGGGCGCCGGCAGATGATGCAATAATCGTTACATTGCCCCCTTCTTAGATGTGATCCGTCTCGGAGCGCGTTTAGTGAAATCATGTAGATATTTGTAGCTGGATCCTCTGTTGCAGTGGGAGGTTAAGTGGCAGTCAATTGTCTTCTTTGGATATGCTGATTTTTTCTGGTCGTTGCTGCGGACTATGATTTTCACCACAGTGAACCGGAAGAGTAATTCCAACACTTCTCACTACCCTCCAGTCCAGACCAGCAAATCTATATGCCAGTTTGGGAAGACAATCTTTTGGACGTTGCCTTGCAGTACTTGTTGACGTAAGTTAGAGTTTCCCAAAGATAATGATAGGAGGCCTTGTGATGTGACGTACTTCTTGTGATGAGATAATACACATCTACTCACGTCGCGCAGTTGCAGGACCTTCCCAATATCCGATTGCTGGATTTCTCAGTCTTCTATTCTCCTGTATTTGCTCTTGAATACAGCAGCAACACCTCTGGTCATATCTAGATCCTGGGCGACACAATGCGCTAATGTTTATTCCTGGGGCGCCGCCGACAGATCCTATTGCACTTACATTGACACTATAACGCGCTGTATCATTTCAACCATGATAAGACATAAACTCGTCAAAATGAACTGACATGTCCAGCTCACAAAGTTGTGTATTCTCCGTCATTTTCATTGCTTCGTGCGTATGGTGCCAGCCGATTGGAATGGACGACCCGCGGTTTCTATGCGGCTACTTTTTAATTCGGTTGACATCATTTATCCTCTTCACCAGGTCGTACGGTCCTTCCCACTGCTGTTTTGATTTTGGACACAACGGGGCGTCGTTGGTGGTAGAACAACAGCCAAACACAATTTCCAGGTCTGTGACCTTCGGCTTTGATGTCATACCTGTGTTTCATTCTGTCACTTGTGATTTGGTTTCGCTCACGCACCTGGTTATGAATGACGTTCATTTTCTACTTTAGGTAGTGAACGAAGTCATCGCCAGCTATTTCTTCATTACTTTTTCAACCACACTGTTGATCACATGGTATATGTAGTTCCCAGTCTAAGAGAACATTAGTGAGTGTCTGTCCAGTTCTCACATGAACAGAGGAGCAGTAGGCTATAAGAAAAAGTGTATTGTAAGTGATGAAAAGTGTGTATTATCCGCAGTCGCGTTGATGATCAAATATAACCTTTGCTAAATATTTTCCCAACGTTCTGTTCATGCGTTCCACTTTTCCATCAGACTGCGGATGTAGGGCTGTTCTTGTTTTCCTTATTCCAAGACGTTCACATACGTCTTGGAGCACTGCAGATACAAAGTTCCGTCCCTGGTCTGCGTGTAATTCAAGTGGTACTCCAAATCTGCTCTCCCATTCCTTAACTAGTACTTCGGAGATAGTAGTAGCCTCTTGGTTAAGTAGGGGTATGATTCAACCCACTTGCTAAAATAGCCCATAATCACAAGTATGTATTTATTTCCGTCATCTGACATTGGAAATGGGCCGGCTAGATAAATGACAATTCTTTCAAAAGAACTTGTATTGCCTCATCTTCGCTCTTCTCTTTTTATGTGGTACATTACTAGTAGCACAAACTTGACACTTCACAACTTGTGCCCCACACATTTATGTGTTGCTTGGAATTAACCTAGTACATTTTTTTTCCTGCACTTTCTCGAGCGTTTTCCTTCTACCGAGATGTCTTCCCGAGGTTCCAACATGCTATTCCTTCAATATTTCAGGTATCATTTTTGGCAACAAAACGTGTTTAAGAACACCTTCAGCAATTGCGTCTCACTGCACCTATTAGAATTTTACTGCTGAGAAACAGGGAGCTATTTCTTGCCATCTCGTTCTCCGTCCTGTCATTTTGCATTTCTAAACGTTTCAATTTTGCGTCGTCTTTCTGATCTTTCTTTCAGTTCTTTGGGTTGCCATTGGTCATTACTGAGAGTGACCCTTAAGGTAGGAGACATCTCTTCTGCATGGCAGTAGTGTTTGCAGTTTTCAGGACATTTCCTGTGGGGGAGAGCATCGTCATTCCTTACTACATTCGCTCCGATGTTATATTGTAAGTGCGAATTATTGCAATCTTTCAATCCATATGGCAACGTGTCGTTCCGGATTCTTGAAGTCACAGAAGCCATTTTATAGGAGCATGATCCGTCCTCAAAAGACATTCGCTGCCATAGAGATACTTGTAAAAGAGCTAAACGGATTTCACCACTGCAAGTCTCTTCGAATTACACAATAGTTGCGATCTGGTTTTGAAAGCATTTTACTGTAACAACCGATGACTCTCTCCCGTCCATTTTGTATCTGCGATACTACTCCCCCAATGCCATCGTTTCTGGCGTCAGTATCAAGTATATATTTTTCTTGGGGTAATGGATAGCTCAATATAGGGTCGTTTAGCATATCGCTTTTAAGATTTTCGAAAGCGCACTGGCAATCTTGATCCCACTGAAACAACAGTTTTTGTTGTCAGCTGGGTGAGCAGTTCGGCGATGACGACAAACTCCAAAATATACCGACGATAAAAGGTACATGGACCCGGGAAACTTGTCAATTCATGTTTATCTGGTACTGGCCATTCTCTTATAGCTCTAACCTCCGGATCAGGTTCTATTCCCGTGCTAGATACGTGTCCAAGATAGTTCACCTTGCGAAATACTGCTTTTACCAGTCATCCTTATCTTCCCTTTCGCTCGTCGTCATTCTTTGATTACTTGTCTCTTTTCTTCTACCCCTTCTATTTTACTGTGTATGCAGAACGCCCACCCATGTGTTTGCCGTGCATGGCGACCAGTGTTGGAAGGACTGTGTGTCCTGGTTATTGAACCTGCTTGTTTCCCAACTACTCTTTGTGCTACTTTCGGCTTTGCAAGTATGGATACGTTGTTACATATTTTGGGGAACATTCCCAACACGCTTTCTTTGGCCTCGAACTCTTGTAGACGGGCAGTCGGGAGCCAACCCACTCCCGATCAATCGGATCGGACTAGGTTTTGTACTGAACTCCAGGGTGAGCGGGGGGATCCACAGCGGGGCAGCGCTGTGTCATCGCCAACTATATATTTGTGGCATCCCTAGCACCCAGATGTTGGGACGGCGGGGCTGGACCTTACATTCATCTCCATGGATACTAAACGGTCTCCCCCGCCCCCTTCAGCAAGGAAGACGATATCCGGAACGAACTTTTTTTACAAAAGGTGACGGACCGAAATAGTCTCGTTTCCTCATGGCATGCACCGAGGAAGAAAAAACGTTTTAAAGCGTAAGTGCTGTCTATCTGGCGCGAGACATAGAGGAAGCATAAGGAAAGTACCAAGCGTTCGTGCGACAGAACAATGGAATGATTATCTTCAAAGCACGTACCGATAAGCAAATCGAGAAATTACTAAAAAACAAGCTGATTGCCAGCCTCCAGGTGGTAGTGACGACGCACCCAACCTTGAACCTGTGCTAAAGCATCGTAAACCGCGACGACTTTGTTCCAGAAAATAAAGAACTGATTTCTTTTATCAAGAGTTAGGGTGTGACTGAAGCCCATGAAGATCTCGGCCGCCTCGGGCAAAAAGCGAGAAATCCCGCTAACGCAGCTGTGACTCCCTGTTCGCTGAGGAACAAAACGTTGGAACAGACTTTCAAACTGTATGCGTTCGGATACACCTTCCGTCCTTTTCTTTAACGGTGTGCAATAAATGGCAAAGCGTAGTATGTTCCCAACCAGGGATATTCTGATAAATTATAAAAGATTCCGAACGAGAGCTACATTGTCCATCTCGGGGAAGTAAGGCCGTGTCCTGGAGACCTTGCCATCTCTCTCTTGCCGTACGCACTCTAAAGGAGTGTGGCGTAAGGTTGACAGATCAGTGGAAGACTTCCTTCGCCGTCTGTGTCAGGGCTTCGGTTAAATGGAAATCTCTCCTCACCAGAAGATATAGTTAAAAAATTGGCATCTTACTACGAGCATATCCCCAACTCCGTACACTATTCCTAGCTTTCTGAAGACAAAAAGAAGAATGGAGAACTACAGAGTAGATTTCTTGATTCGCGTGGAGGAAAACTACAAAGCACCTTTCT